GCTATCCACATGAGATAAAAAGCAACCTTTAGTAAGATATACACTAAAAAAAAGTTATCTTTTATCAATTAGTTTAAGCTTTAGCGCCAAAGGTGAGTGATGAATTTGACTTCTTACCCCTTCTTTTTTATTTTTTATTTTTTTGAGTTTCAAATTATCAAATATATATAGTTGGCTTCAATATTCGTGTTCATTATAAAGGGAGAAGGGTACAAAAGCCTGCAATAATGCAGGCAAGAAACTCACTATGCTATGTCCCACGGGTTACAGTATTGGCATATGAAATGATATGCCAAAAGAGGTTTATCAAACCATTATGTATTTCGTCCAAAAAAATAAATCAAACCATTATGTATAAACGGCTCACTCGTGTAGTTGGGTCTTTTCTATTTAACTTTATGATTCCGTAAGGCTTATTTGGTATTCTACTCAAAAAAGTAAATTAAAAAATTATGATTATTTTTAAAAACATGAATTTTCAAACAGTTATTTTAATATCTAAAAGCTTGTTTGGTATTGAACTCCAAACTATTTTTAAGATCTAAACAAATTGAAATTAAATTCAGAAATCAGAAACCCTAGATTCCCAAATTGAAATTAACAAAAGAAAAGGAGAGAGGAAGGAGAGAGGGAGAGAGAGAGAGACAGGAGAGGTAGGAGAGATAGAGACGAGACGAGAGAGGAAGGAGAGAAAAAGAGTGTGTGTGTGTGGAGAGAGGGAGAAGAGAGACACAAGAGAGAAAGTGTGGAGTGAGGGAGGAGAGAGAAAAAAATTATAAAACCTCACTTTTTTTTTTGTTTTTAATAATTAGGGTGTTTTTGAGTTTTTAAAAATGGGCATACTAAACGGGTTTTTGTGGCTTTTGACTTAAAATCTGTTTTTGAGTTTATAAAATTAAATCCAAATAGGATACCAAACAGACCCTTCTAATTAGATTTTGTTTAATTGTTGAGGTATCGTACTTTTGAAAGATTCTAATTTGAACCCATTTTTCATCACGCATGCATGTGATCTTTCCCTCACCACTCGGACTAACCTCGAAAGCATTTTAATGTTCTAGGTGTATTTTGCGATTAATCATTGCTCATGAGAGCTTGAGTTAGTAATTAGTATCAAATGAAACAAGACTATTAATCCGCAGTTCTATGTTTGTATACAAACTTAAGTCAGAATAAAAAAAAATATTAAAAATAAAAAAATAAAAAAAGATTATAAAAATAAAAAAGACACAGAAAGGTTTTTCCGACATGCAATTTTTTGCCATTCACAAGGTCAAGCTAGCTATATTCGCTCGTATCATGTTGACATGTGTGGTAGGCCCAAAGTTGAGTTGTGCCACCAGTGAAAATCAATCACCCTAAAGTCAATGTATTATTTTTTTTTTTGGTGAACAAAGTCAATGTATTATCAGGTGCGGTATTGTTTTTATTTTTCAAATTTTCAAATTTTTTATTTTTTATTTTTTAAAGTTTGCTTTTCTTAGCACAAGGACGTTTGGACCCGTTATATATACCCCCACACACTCCCACTCTTCCCACCTCACTTCAGAGTCTCGAATTCTCTCCTCCAAAGTCTTTGAGTTGTCTCTCTAGCTTTGCTTTAGGCATTTGTGTTTAGGTTTTAAATTCTAACTTCTCCAAGGGGGCAAAAAAAAAACCCCTACTCTTTTTTGGCTCTGTTCATACAAAAAATGAGTGAGAACAACAATCAACAAGTCTTTGACATCTCCATTGATGTGGTTCCAAAGAACAATGGCTCCAAATGCTTTGACGATGACGGACGGCTCAAACGAACTGGTGGCTTTTCCAACCCCTCCCCTGTTCTGTTTCCTCTGTCCCAAACCAACATTGTTGTATATATTGTATGACCATGTATGCATCTCACAAAATCTGTCTTCTGTTTAATGCATGCAGGAAGTGTATGGACCGCAAGTGCACACATAATAACGGCTGTGATTGGATCTGGGGTGCTTTCCTTGGCATGGGCCATTGCTCAGCTAGGATGGATTGCTGGTCCATCTGTCATGTTCTTGTTCTCCTTCGTCAGCTACTACACTTCATGTCTCCTGTCTGACTGTTACCGTTCCGGTGACCCCCTCACCGGCAAGCGAAACTATACTTACATAGACGCTGTCCGCTCCATTCTTGGTATGTATGTACATAACAATATTTGCATACTTTCTACTCTCGTATTTGTCTAACTAGCTTTTAGTCTAGTGACATTTCTCCGCGTCTCTAGTCTCGGACTTGCTTGTGTTTCCAAGGGCGTATTATAATTGGGTTGTTTTCCAAACCCAAATATTGTAATAAGAAAATGATCTTAATCTCTTCATGCAGGTGGAGCAAGGGTCAAGGCTTGTGGGCTAATTCAGTATTTGAACCTTTTTGGAATTGCCATTGGATACACCATTGCAGCATCTGTTAGCATGATGTTAGTAGTGTATTCCTCCAACTTACACACCAATTGCTGGAGATTAGATTTTCCTTGGCATCTTGAATGTTTGGTTGATGTTCAATATTTTGGTTAATTTTCCTTGACAGGTCGATCAAGCGATCCAATTGCTTCCATGAGAGTGGAGGAAAGAAGCCGTGTCATATGTCAAGCAACCCCTACATGATCTTGTTTGGCGTCACAGAAGTTTTGCTTTCTCAAATCCCGGATTTTGATCAAATATGGTGGCTATCAATTGTTGCTGCTGTTATGTCTTTCACCTACTCTTCCATTGGTCTTGCCCTTGGAATTGTAAAAGTTGCAAGTCAGTGTTTCTAAATACCAACTTATTGAACATTCAAGTTGAATTTGAATAAGCAAATACTAACTGATTTGAGCTCTCTTCTGTTTTCGGGAGCAGCAACTGGGACTTTTAGGGGCAGCCTCACCGGCATAAGCATCGGAACTGTGACCGAAACTCAAAAGATGTGGAGGAGTTTCCAAGCTCTTGGTGACATAGCCTTTGCCTACTCATATTCAGTGATTCTCATTGAAATTCAGGTACCCTCACTCTTTTCCATTACCGGCAATAAAACCCTAAAAACAAGATCAAGGGTTGAGCTCTAATTAAAGTTTAACCTAACCTGGGCTCACAGGACACCATCAAAGCCCCACCATCAGAAGCAAAGACCATGAAAAAGGCAACCGTGCTAAGCATTGCCGTAACGACAACTTTCTACATGCTTTGTGGGTGCATGGGCTATGCAGCTTTCGGAGACTTTGCCCCTGGAAATCTTCTCACCGGTTTTGGCTTCTACAACCCATTTTGGCTGCTTGATATTGCTAATGCCGCCATAGTAGTCCACCTTGTTGGAGCATATCAAGTATTTTGCCAACCCATCTTTGCCTTTGTTGAGAAATGGGCAGCACAGAGATGGCCTGAGAGCAAGCTTATCACCAAAGAGTTTCAAGTCCCAGTGCCTGGGCTACCCTCATTTAAGTTAAACCTCTTTCGACTGGTTTGGAGAACAAAATTCGTGATGCTAACCACAATAATATCAATGCTGCTTCCCTTCTTCAATGACGTGGTGGGGCTACTTGGGGCATTGGGATTTTGGCCATTAACTGTCTATTTCCCAGTTGAGATGTATATTGCACAGAAGCAGATTCCAAAATGGAGCACAAGATGGATTTGCCTCCAAATGTTGAGCATTGCTTGCCTGGTAATTTCTCTAGTTGCTGCTGCCGGTTCAATTGCCGGCGTCATGCTCGACTTGAAGGTTTACCGACCGTTCAAAACCAGCTACTAAATCTATGTCACTGATTAACCTTTGACTGTACGCAAAAGGAAATCAGTGAAATTCACTTCCATTCCCTGTAAATTTGTAAATTGCTGTAATTGATTACCATTTTATGATTATCCGTGAGTTGGTGGCTACTAAACTGGTTAGTTTGTATGACTCATCACCAGCTAACTGATATTTATACCAAAACCCCTCACAACTCAAAGCTTCAAATTTCTCAAATCCAATCTGAAGGTGGGTTACAACCTTCAACTATTAACATCAGTGTTGTAGAAAAATCTCCAACCATTAATGAAAACAAAACTCATAATCAGATAGTATTATCCAAGTCATCCCAATGTTACAAAAATCAAAGTTCAAGTTGTATTAAGTCAGCCTCTTTTTTACACAAGCGATATTGGAAGAGGGGGTAATCGAACCTATGACCTCAGGTCCAAGGCTACATGTTATTAAGTCAACTTTTAGTTTAAGTTTATAAGTGATGTTTACAGCTGCTCAAAATAACAGCTATCAGTCTAGTAGAAAACCATTTCATCAGTCAAGCTTTAGTTTGCTCGACTCTTAAAGAATGAAAGGCCTATTGCACTGTTCTGAGTAATCTTAACGAGAAAAAGCCAGAAGTTGCCCCAATTCCATCTCTCTATGATCATTACCTTGAGTAGATACAGCAAACAGCCCTAACTTTCTTTTGCCAAAAAGCAAACAGCCCTAATAACTACAGTAGATTTTAGGATTGACAGCCAAACATACTGGCACTGAGAAGAAAGAGACTAAGGATGGAGTTCTTCCTAACCCTATAGCAACCCAAACTGCTAATGCAATCTCAGTTTAGGCTAAAGCATGAACTTTGGGACTTCATGCTCCATAAGGTTTATCTTCAACCACGCACACAACAATTAAGCCTCCAAGTGACAATGGCAAGAAAGTATGCAATGCATGTTAGAGTTAAGATTAACCCCAAGTTTGTGTCAAATAAAAGCTCTAGAGATAAAATAATAGGGAGGCATGTTTAAGTACAACTTTTCCAAATTGTCTGTTTTTGACGGTGAAAGATTGTTATTCGAAAAAAAGAAAGTACAAAAGCAGATTGAATTCATAAAAACTCACAGAGCTCAATCATACATTGATATATGAATGTTTTGATATCAACACAAATAATGGTATATATATTTATATTCAACAGAATGTGCTATATCACAAACAAATACAAAAATAAAAAGGGCAAAATCTGCCCAACCTAACATCAAGTGAATCACTGAAAAAAGTTTTGTGCAATACCACACAATATGGCATTCTACATCAACCAGCCTTTCCCATTTTTCATAAAGCGATCTTTCAAACATCATAAAACCCCTGGATCCCCTAAATAAACAATTACAAGAGAGAGAGGGGAATTAAAAAGGGAAATATAAGAGAATACCATCCAGGCATCTCAGTGGCAAATGGAAGCCTCTCTCAATATATTTTCAAATTCAATCAAAATTTCCACCATCACCGATGCGAAGTCTTTCTTCTAAAAAGAAGCGAAGATTCTTCTTCCCTTATGACAAATGATCTGGTTGCCAAATGAAGTAACTCGAAGCAGTAGAATCATTTAAGGGTTTCAAAAAAGCTCCTCTGAATTGAACTTGTTCCAAGCTTCCTATAATAATTCAACGAGTGCAATCAGCTTTCTACAGGAATACTAGTGTCCATACCAAACTACCCAGACGTGTATAATAATACTAATGTCAAATCAAGCAACCTAATTATTCTCTGATGTAATCACTAATAATACCTAAAGCAGCACAAAAGCAACACTAATGGGTCACCGATAAACAGCTCAACGAAATAATACTTTGATTTGTAGAAATTACCTTAAGGAGGTCGAACACCTTCTCGGCTATATACTTCTGTTGAAGATTGGCACCTTTTTGTTGTACTTTATCAGGATGAATACACAAAGTTGCCTTCCTATATACTTTCTTAACTGAGGCAGCAGTAATCATATCAGTCAAAGAAACTGGCTGCCAACCGCATTCAGGCCAGAGAACCTGATGATCATTCAAACAGTTAAGTTAGTGTAACCAGCACAAATTTTTCAATAATTGTGGAACCATTCAATATTCAAGTATATCCACCACTATCAAGTACTTTGAGCACACATAATAAGAAACACAGTTTTATATTTACTCATCCAAATTGCAACAACAAAACAATGATTCAGAAGAAACACGGGCTTTATGAGACTAAAGAAAAGAAACCTAAACTGATTTGGTATTTCCGCCTAAACACTGCCTTTTCAACTTGCAACAACAAAACAATGATGCAGAAGAAAGTCTACAGTCTGACCACCATATGAAGATAAGAACACCCAAAAAAAACTCTCCAAGATTGTACATTTAAAGAACCTTGCAGATATGGCTCTCAAACAAAGAAGACAGCATTAAAAGGAGCGCTAGCATGCCACTAATGGTTTCCCATGCAAGCACAAGCTGCTGACCTTCTTCACCATTCTCTAGTAGGACTTCACCTCATATTTGTGGCTATAAGTTAACCTACAACCCACCTCATAACCAACCACAGAAACCATTGTTCCATAAAGGAAAGAAGGAAGTGCCCCATGATACCCAAAACCCCATGTACCTCAACACAAAAGGAAAACATAAAATAATCAAAATGAGGAGCATCTGAGAATGGCAATATTTCAATTAAACATACATATTGCATGGTCGACAGCAGAGCACGCAAATTCCCCTCTTTCCCTGCAGCCCAACGCTTGATCTCAACATCTAGTGTTTCAGCAATCCTCTGAAGAAATTTACAAGAATAAAACAATCAGTGATAACTCGACAAACTTAATGTGAGCTTCAGTATAGCTGAGATGCTAAGACATATAGGGAAATAAATTGCATAGCAAATTAAAGTAGACATATACATACATACAAAAAGTGAAGACAAGCCAATAAATTTTACCAATTTGTAGCAGTTGCAAGTTAAGAAATATACTCTCACTTACAAGTGACAAAACTTGCATCCCAAGAAAAATTAATATCAGGGATGCAACTTTGTGGCACATAAATACTGAATTGGTTGGCACAAACGCAACCTCTTTGATTAAGTTCTATATTTATAAAACGAAAACAAGTAACTTTATGTTCTTATGCAATTATAGGTCAATGACAACAAGCATAAACCCATACTGCATATTCACCTAGTCTATACATCCAATCAGACAGAAAGAAGCTGTCATACAGCACATAGGAAGACAGTTATTTAATGGCAAACGACAGTGATTTACATGTCTCTCAGCTTGCTCTCTTAGGGCGTGAAGGTCTCTCTCATTCTTTTCAGCCAGTGCTTTTGCCTGAAAGACAAAGAAAACAATAAGAACTTCTCAGATACCACAATAAAACATAGCACAGGCACATGTACGCATGATATAAATTGGTTCAGATTCTGAGAGGAACACATCCTTTCCATTATATTCAAGGGAACTAAAATATACAAATCTAAAGAAAGAAAACACATACCGTACGCTCTTGGGTCCTTTGGTGTCGTTCTAACCTGGCTCTTCGCCTTTCTTCAGTTTCTCCTTCAACTTCCTGGAACTCTCCTCCAGAAGATGGAGCAGCTTTTCACCAAAATTAGAAAGTTCAGCAGAAGCAACATTATACACAGTTACACAAGAATATTTACAATCAAATAACTGAACTGAACGCCGAGTTTCAAACTACCTCCAAAAATTGCTGAAAGATCGTCAACAATATTTGTGGTTGAGTTTGCTTTTCTTATATTCGAGGAAGCAGTGCTTGATGTCTTTGGAACTTCAGGCTCTTGCCTGTTCTGAAATGGGTCCTGAAATAAAGCCATCTAGTCAAAAACACAATTTCCAAATGCTAATGAAAAAGAAATTTACAACCTTGTCCTCACCGTGCTTGATGTCTTTGGAACTTCAGGCTCTTGCCTGTTCTGAAATGGGTCCTGAAATAAAGCCATCTAGTCAAAAACACAATTCCAAATGCTAATGAAAAAGCAATTTACAACCTTGTCCTCACCAAGGAATTAGCCCTAGGTCGTGGTGCACTGCTAGCTCGACCCATGCTGAAAAAGTGCTCAAGATCATTTTCACTCTTTTGTTGGTTCGCCCTTGCAGCAGCAGCAGCAGCCCTTTCTCGAGCCTCTGCAGCAGCCCTTTCTCGTGCCTCTGCAGCAGCCCTTTCTACTGCAGCGCGTTCAGCTCTTGTTCGTGCTTCAGCTCCAGCCCTTGCTGCAGCAGCTCTCTCCCTTGCTTCCCTCTCCTTTGCTTCAGCATTTGCTCTTTCTCTGGCTTCTGCAGCAGCCTTTTCTGCTCTTTCCTTTGCCTCCACTGCAGCCCTTTCCCGAGCTTCAGCTTGAGCTCTCTGAACTGCAGCCCTTTCAGCACGTTCTCTAGCTTCAGCAGTTGCCTTGTCTACAGCAGCTCTCTCTGATTTAGCCCGTTCAGCTTTTATGCGAGCTTCAGCAGCTGCTCTCTCTCGTGCTTCCCTAGTAGCCCTTTCCACAGCTTGTCTGGCCTTATCCCTTTCCCTCTCCATTTCTCTGGTTCTTTCCCTTTCCCTTTCAAGTTTCCTTTGTTCTCTCTCTTTCTCTTCCCAAGCCCTCTCAATTTCCCTCTCTTTCTCCACTCTACTTTGTTCCATATCTTCCTCTTCACTTTCCCTCTGCAGCCGTTCACTATCCAACCTCTCCTGTTTTTATCTAAGCTCTTTCTCATCCTGCATAGCTTTCTCATCCTTTTCTAGCTGTGCTTCTTTACTTCTAGCAGCCTTTGTACTTCCTCTCTCTCTCACTTCCTTCGCATGTCTGAATTTAGCCTCAGCTCTATCCATAGCCTCCTTCATGGCAGTAGCAACTGAATTCATCTCCAATTCTTCACCAGAAAGACCATTTGCATGTTCATCAAAGTTACTTTGGCTCTTACCCATAGCAAAATCCTCAAGTTCGTCAATTGAAGAGACACCTGGGCCCCTTGCTGCAGCAGGAGCAGACTTCGGAGCTTGAAAGAACTGAGTAGAAGATTCACTAGCCTTCTTTCTCGCATTTGTGGTAGCAGGGGAACCCATTCTTGCCTTCGAAACCTGCACTGGCCTTGGAGGAGGTGGTCTTGACGGTGGTGGAGCACTAGTGGGCTGAGTCATTAGAGGGATCTCTGAAACAGTGAGCCATAGATAATCAGATGAATCCAAGTTTTCTTCAGATCTTGGAGACCTATCCACCTATACATTTGCTCCCTTAGGACTAGCATTTACATAGGAAGGTGGAGACATAGTTTGACCAGCTGATTTCTGAGAATCAGTTGAAACTGTAGGCATGTCAAACAAGGTCTGATGAGAATCCCAATGATTGCCAACAGGAACCTTCTTCTGAGACTGGTTATCTGGACTTCTCACAGAAGGCTTCTCAGTTGATTCTTTAGCAGTTGAAGCTCTGCTGTTATTTGTGCTTGTATCTGCCCTTAAATTGCCACTATCCTTTCCCCTGTAATTTCTTCCCGATGAAAATGCTGGGACTGACTTCCCAAGGCCATCAAAGGGATCAATATCATCAAATGCTTGCCCATTATCAACAGATGGACTATCAACCTTTGAGCTTGCAGATTTAGAAAGTCTACTTATTTCTTCCAAGGGATCCTTAAACTGCCCTGATACTACAAAAGGATCTTCCATCACCTTGGAGGTTGTTTTAGACAGATTATTGGCATTCGTTTGAGGGGGCCAATTGGCCTCCGAGGTTGACCTGCTACATAAAAAATACAGTACAGATGCATAAATGAAGCAAGATTTTTACTTAAAATGAACATGAAGGTACCGTCATGCTTACAGAAAAAGCAATGCAACTAAAAAAGGTTGATGAATTTAAGAATACATCAGAACACTATACATCAAAGATAAATCAGAATTAAATTTAACTGCATACATTCCATTTACAAATAAATAAATAAATTTTTTTATAGTGAATGCTCATATAATTACCCAAAACCAAAAGTTCAGACATTGCACGATACTTTCATGCTAATAACAGGTCAGGCTTGTCTGAAACTTTTAAATTTAAATTGTCTAATCTGACTGAAGGTTTATCAGTGTTCTTCCCTGTGAAATGTGGAAATACCCAAGCTCAATACTATATGAATCACTCTATACATATAAGGAAACTTTTCTCTTTCGAGATTGTGAATCTAGATGATTGATTAGGTTCTTGCTTGAAACAACAAGAGCATCTTATGTTGGCTGACTGTAAGAGAGAGAGAGAGAGAGAGAGAGAGAGAGGAGGGGGCCAAAACTCAGAACCTAACTAACTGTGTTCAACTGAACCTTCTCCTTATCTCTCGTTTGACCCAAGAAAAATAAAAATTAACTACCTAATTGCTAGTGAAGCACAGGGGAAAATCATCACTTTCATCATTCACCCTCAAAGTACCATATGACAATGAATTTTAAAAACTAGGATTGCACTTTTCCCCCTCATACCTATGAGTTTATGTGCCTTAATTTTTCCTTCTACACAGTCAGGAAAATTATAACTTCATTCTACACAGTTCATGGAAATCACAGCACCACATTACAGAATCAAAATCCAAAACCTTAGCCAAAGTCAAACATTGTTGCAGAGTAAGAAATCTGAATAGGTAATACCAGTGAATTATAAGATATTCCAAAGAAAAAGTACAGCAACAATTCAGACCATAAATGATCCTCAAAGTCCATGTCTCGATTTCAACCAATCCAATGTGACCCATCAAAAGTGAAGCATCACTTGATCTATCACTATCATTCATCAGGACTTGGGAATAAATGCCAATTCAACAAATAATACACTGCAAGCCGAATTCAGAAAATTAAGAATTCTAACAATGAGCATCCAAATATCATTAGTAGGAACCAAAATTTAAAATCCACCATGCAAGTTGATCAAAAATTGGGTAAAGCATATTGATCCAAATTGTTCATCATACAATTTTCTGTCCTTAAGAATGTAAAATTTTGCCTCACCAACAACACTCGGGTACAATTCCAATTGAACATTTACAACAAAAAAAAAAATAACAATGCATGATTCCGCTACACAAGACAAAGTAGAAACAGACGTAAACAGCCAATATATTCAAATTAAAAAGTGATTGCACAGAATTGATCTAAATTTGACTACTGATACATGATTAAACAAGAAAATAACATGTTCCCTAAATATAAAAGTAAAACCCATATAGCAATGAAAGCAAATGCCAATACCTTTCACTAGCGGGGTTACTACCTCCAAACCCAGGTAACAAATCATCGAGACCCGGCACAACCTTCTCAGCTCTATCCGATCCTCTGGAACCTGAGCTCTTCAATTGGGGCTCTACCTTACCAAAGCCGCCAAGAAGGTCATCAAATCCACTACTACTCCCCTTGGACGGCGGCGACTTGACCGTGGAGAAAACGTCCTCGTACTTGACTTTTGAAGACGTGCTCTTCAGCCCCGGGACGCCATCGAAAATGTCGTCGTCGTAAACGGGTTTATCGTAAACGGGCCCTGGATTCGACGACTTTGGAACCGAATCAGTAGACCCGCCAAACATAGAGTCGAAGTTGAAAGCCGCATCCTCGCCACGGCTCTCCGATTTGGTCGAATACCTCGCCGAGCCGCCGAAGATATCGCCAAAGTCTTGGGTTTTTGAGGGTCCGAAGATCGAATCGCGATCGTCGGCGAGAGACCCACTGAAGGAATTGGTGGCGCGAGTTGATCGGGAGGGCCCACTAGATCCGAGATCGAAGTTTGGGGCCTTTGAAGAATTAGCTGAAGAAGCAGACATTGGGGCCGATTTGCCTGAGGGTTTGAATCCGAAATCGGAGGCCAAGAGACCCTCGAAGTCGTTCATGGCGTTTGGCCTTTCTAGGTCTCCCTCTCTTCCCCCTTATTTTTGTTGTGTTATTGGTTTTTGGCTGTACAAAACAAAATGAAGGATCTCAAACGAGCGTGATCATGTCGAATGAGAGGAAAGGTTGTTTGGGATCTGAGAAAATATTGAGAAAGAAAGAA